CACAATGCACCAAGTTGAAAAGTGAACGAGTGAATGTTAAAACTAAACATTGTCCTTGGCTTAACTATTATACGTGGCAAACTTAAAAACAAATATTTGAAAAAAGTAGAAGGGTCTGTGCTTAGGGGCACGAACGGAAGCTTGACGTAGGACCGCTAGTGGACGGAACAAATGTGAACATTTAGTTCTTTTAATTGATCAATCATCAACTATCTTAACTCTTTCCGTTTTTTATTTGTAAGCGTATCAAATTTGTAGTGTTTATTTCAAACAGAAAGTTGATGAAGAGAATCCAAGGGACTGTCAACTTGAGTATTTTCGATTCATTTACCCGACTTTAAAAGGTGTATTTTGAATTTTTCGTTATTTATGAATTTTTAAGTTTTGTGCATTTTGGTATTAAAGAGTATTCAATTAACCCCTCACAGGATTTCCTTCCGAATTATATGAATGGGGCGGGCGGAAAGTATCGTTTGTGCAGAATATGTAAAAAAAGGAGGGACTTCGAGAGATTGAACTCGTGAGAGCTAATTTTCTCACAAATTTGATTTTATTGGCTTTCTGGGGACTGAATATACACCCAAAGCGAATTATTCCCACTTCTCTTAAATTCTATAACACTTCCTACCAGCGTGTTCTGGAAAATGGTCGGACGATAATTAATCTCACCAATACATTCGGGCCTACAATTCCACACCTTCTATAGAGACCAGGTTGAGCCTTGATAGCTAGCTGCTTGCGGGAGCTGATGACCTTGACAAATGTCCAAATAATACAAATTTATGGTGGTCCTGAAAAGGACCGTTTTGTAGTGATGGTTGAGTAATTCTGAGCTGGGTGTTCAACACGGATGAGGCTGTCGAGCTGTATGTCGTTTGGAGCGAGGGTGACACGCTTGGCATAGATGACCGACCCGCAGCGACTCACGAAGAGCTACTGATTCCGATCCATAGCATAGCGGTGCAGCTTCTTCCTTCTTTGATGGTTGCTTATGTGGGCTCTGCAGCTCGCTGCTTGCAGGCAGCCTTTCGTTGTTACTGGAGAACAATTTTCAACGCCACAAGCCGAAAGCACTGCTACTGCTGCTACTGCTGCTACTAATTTCGACGACCGAACACCACCACACAGTGGTGTGGTCGTTGGGAGCGTGTGGTTCTGAGTATGGCGATGAGTGTGCAAAATATTACGCAATTCCATCCTCCCTATTCGCACGCGCCCGAGGATCGGAGGCGAATGCCACTTCGACTTGTTTCGTCTACTTACTACTCTCTGACGACTGTGCTGGGGAAGCAGCAAATGCATGTAGGTAATTGGTGGATTTGTTAGTTAATTCGACGCTTTTGGACAATTCTGGACATTTACCAGTTTTTCAATAGTTTTTTTTTGTTGAAAATCAACATTCGGAAGCATTGTTATCAATGCGTAGCTATATTTATGATCGATTGGTGATAAAATTATTGAAATTGGACCAGGGGCAGCTGAGTTATTAACGTTCCAAATCTTTCATAATTTGTTACATGTTCCATTTTCTGTTTCCACAAAGTGTACCCCCATATAGAAATCAAAGACGTAGTACTACGTCAAAAGTAAAGAAAAATCCTTATAATGATCATTTGAAAGAAATGTTGAAACATATAACTAAAAACTGATATTGCTAAAAAAAGATGTAAAAATGATTATTTCATAAAATTATTTGAGGACACAAGTAGTGCCAAGGTTTGGAAAAATTTAAATGGAATACATATTGGGAAGGAAAAAACATGCTCCAAATATTGAACTTCAATATGATGGACATAAAACATCAAATAGTTCAGAAATTTGTGAAATGTTCAACCAATTCTTCTCAAACATTGGAGCTAATCTTGCTGGTAGTATTCGAAAAAATAACTTAAATCCTTTGGATACTGTAAGTCGTCTAGAGCATACTATTTTTCTCAAACCTACTGATGTAATTGAGGTTTCTTCCTTGATTAATGATCTAAATACTAAAAAAAAAGCTGTGGCCCTGGAAGATTGGCAAGTATCATCAAACATAACCTCAATGAGTTTGCAAATATTTTTACTCAACTTTTCAATTGTATACTGAGACAAGGGAAGTATCCAGATTGTCTCAAAGTAGCAAGAGTGGTGCCTATTTTTAAAGCCGGCGATGTGTCTAATCCTTGTAATTATTGTCCTATTTCCACACTGTTTATAGTCAATAAACTTTTCGAAAAATTGCTAGTAAATAGTCAATTTCTTGAACAAATTTAATGTTTGTATAAATTTCAATACGGGTTTCGGAAAGGATGTAGTACTTTTACAGCAATAGTCGAGGTAGTTGATTTTTTATTGAATAAAATTGATAATAAATGTATCGTAGGAGGCCTCTTTATTGAACTAAAAAAAGCATTTGATACCCGGAATCACAATATTCTTCTGCAAAAATTAGAAAGCTATGACATACGTGGATTGGCTGATGACATTATACGTAGTTATTTGAGTGATAGGAAACAGTGTGTGGTATATAAATAAGCACAGAGCTCTCTCCGATTAGATTGGACCTCTCTTATTTCTTATTTATATAAACGATATAGGAAATTTACCATATATATTTACGATAGATGAATAGCTGAATTATTTGCTGACGATACAGCACTTTTTTACCCAAATCAGGATACTGCATCTATCGTTTCCTGCATTAACGATGATTTTCAGGTACTCATGAGATACTTTGATACTAATTTACTTTCGTTAAACTTATCAAAGACTAAATATATGGTGTTCCACTCACCGAGGAAAAAAATTTCTCCATACAACAGTCCGTCAATTGGGTCTAACGTAATAGAGAAAGTATCAAGTTTTAAATATTTGGGCTTGGTATTAGATCCTACGCTCTCTTGGGGGATCATATAAAACATGTACAACGCAAAGTATCATCTCTATGTGGCCTAATGTATGGTGTTGCCTACGAACGCACTTCTAACTTTTTATCATGACTGTATTCATTCTCATCTGCAGTACTTAATCATCGTTTGGGGACATGCTTGCAAGGCTAAACTAAAAAATTCCAAGTATTGCAAAATAGGTGCATAAAAATCATCTATCACCTTCAACAATTGTTTTCCACTCTTCAACTCAACGGGTTCTTGATATAAATTCGTGTCAACTATCGATTTATAATTATCAAATTTACACTCTTTACGCTAAGCTTAAGATATTTAAATTGTATATATTAATTAATTGAATTGTTTATTAGTTGAGGATCCCTTCAAAGGAACTTTGTTCCACTGGGTACACCCTAACTTTGTTAATAATTGTTGTTTTGCATCACACACCTTTAAAATTAGTTATGTTGTATTTATATGTCAATATGTTTTCTCTTGTAACGTTAAAAAATATCATCGAGGAATCCACTACCAAGGGGCTCTCAGTGCGAGCTCTTTGGTGTGGGGGTGTGTTGGCGGAACTAAAAAAAAAAAGTTTAATTCACGTAAATTTGAGAATATGCAATTTACTCAAAAGTAACTTATTAGACTGAATTATATCGTTGGGCCCCAATGCGAAGCAGCCAATGGCTGAAAGCCTTCTAAATAAAGAAAAAAATATCGTTGGGTTTTTTTGGCATCAATTACGAGTTCAAGTGAGAGGATCAACTAAAAATTATGTAAAAACATCTCAAATGTAGGGTAGTGTACGGTCGTGCAACATTTTTGATTGCTTCCCTAATTAAAATTTCATGGTTATTTTGCTTAACGACGTGTTCGGGGTATCATCCAAACAATTTGTGGAATAGTTCTATTATTTGGGTTATCGTTCGTTTATGGTAATTTTTTATTAGGGTTATGAATACCCAAGCAAAATTGGGCACTTTGAATCATGCTTGCTGAAACTCCTCAAACTGGAGGTTTTTTTTATAAAAAAAAAAACATTTAAACAAAATCTGATTCTAGGAACAGTTAAAAGTTTCATACTTCATCACTTTCACAAAATTGTACATTTAGAGTGGTAGAATGCATCGTTTTTTAGAGGAAATGTTTCAAAAGTACTATTTTAAACTACTTAATGAAATACTAAACAAATTATCGCATAACTATATCATCAAAAAATTATCGTTGAGAAACGAAAATTGAACGTTGTAGTGATCAACTGCACCTAAATAATCAACTTCACCCCGTTTTACGGTACAAACTGAGAAGAGAGGACACGTAGGAAGAAAAAAATCACAGATAGATCCAACAACCGCTAGCAACGGCAAACTACGAAAAAATTAAGGGGAAATTCTGTTCAGTCAATCGTAATTTTTCTCGGTTTAGGTCCGTTACATCGTTCAAGTAAAAAAAATGTGAAATAAAAGCGTAAGTTTTTACTATTTTGGTCATATCTCCGGAACCAAATATTCGATCAAGATGAAAGTCAATACCATCAAATGGGCTTAAAGTGAACCTTTTGGTCTTGGAACGAAAAATTAATTTTCGATTGATATTATAGCCTTTCACTACACCTAGGGGCACGAGATAGGCAAACAAAATTGAAATTCGAAACCACCGTTTCTGTCATCGTCGGCACCGTCATCGTAGGTATGTCAGTGAACGCGAAGTGGGTTGGTTGATCTCTTTGACGAATTTTCTAGACCGACTGTGTTTGCCCGTTTCTTTTGCGGGTGATGGGTGGAACAAGACAGGAGGGGCCGTTTGTCGCCGGTTTTCCTATACAAGCCAAGACGCCTGCCAACTTGATGCAATCAGTCGAGTTGCGCGGTTCACGTATTAATAGCTTCTAGAGAAAAAAAAAATAGATCTCGCTTACAGACACGCAAATTACGAGAGCACGCCGCCCCAATAGTAGGAGGCAATGAAACGAAGTGTTCTCGTTATTATGTGTATTCGGTTGTTGATATGGTCTCTGCTCTGCTTTAAATTAGATAATAGGCTTTCCGTTTAACCTTAACCTAATTAATGGCGATGATGCTGTTTCCGATGTAGGGTAGGTGACATGGCTGAAAAGAATCGTATACTTACATTTTGTTGACGTCTCCCTTGGCTCCCTGCATTTTGCCCATGATTGTGCCCTGTTTGGAGTTTTTCACCCATCCCTTGATGCCGAGTGCTATGCAGTTGTCTCTGCAGTGTTTTGTGAATCCACATCCTGACAACAATAGCGGGAAATAGAAACAAACAGAATGGAGTGAGAAAAAGGAAGTTATTAAATTTATACGACGCAAGAGACTATGGCAAGAGTGCTTTTTGTCTGTCTTGTTACAGGACGTTGATAATGTTACATGTCAGCTGGAAGACAACCGATGCGATGGTCAAGTGAAGCGAGCAATAAATTATAGTTGGCAACTTGATAGGTTCCAAGCTGCAATTAAGTAATTGATGTTTGCTAAAAATAAGCAACCGGTCAAATTGCTTGCCTTGTCGAAGTTGATGGATCTCACTGTTTCCAAGATGACTGTAGTTTCGTACTAAAACCTGGGCGACCATAAATAAACTCACGTTACTTTTTCTAAATTGATGATAGCAAGAAATATGCTTCTAGTCAATACATTTCTTTAATCCACATGCAAAATCACACCTTGCTTTGAATTTTTGTGCAATTTTTTGACTATAATTTTTTGAATGTATTAACCGATTAGATTATGTAAAACTCTTATTTGAAAAAAAGTTATAGTAACCTAAACATTTGAATTTATTTTAAACAGTTTTATCGTAATGTGCATAGATTTCAATTCAATTAAATTTTTGGGTTTGCATAACATTTAAATTGATCATATCATTCGAGCAGTTTCTTATGTAATAATTGAACTGCAGTCATTATTTCACTGTCAACATGTATGCTTAGATATTATTATTAATTGGATATTGATTAGGTACGACTGAAAATTGTTTAATCTCATCATTTTAACATGAAAACATTTCAGGTACGTGGATGTAATGTCTATCTACTGTACTTAAATAGACATCATTTATAGACCCAAAATAGATGCAACTTCGTCCTATTGAAGATGACCTGGTGCATTGTTCGACTTGATAGTTTTTCGAAGGGCCTGGGTAAATGAATCTAACTCATATTTGAATCCCGTTCACTAGAATTCGCAAAACGTAGGTCACTCATGTAATGAGTAAATGTTTACTCACATATGGGTAAATGTCACTCATATATGAGTAAATGTCACACAAATATGAGTGAAATTTACTCATATTTTATAAAAATTTACTCATTCTACGAGTGACCTACATGGAGATGAAAAACTACCCAAAATTAAATACTTTTCCCTCAATTCCGGGGTTCAGCCCAATAACCCAAATTTGAGTTAAACGCATAATCGCATCTTTGAAAGTAGTTTCCATTTAAAACCAGCAAACAAAATATCTACTCTTAAGTAGGGGAAAAGTTGGCTTCGGCAATACTTTAACCTATTATCGTCAGGGGGTAAACAACGTTCTTGAGAGCTCAATTTTGGCATGTAGATACATTGTGTTTCAGAGCAACTATTGGCCAAATTTGAGTGCTCTAGGACTTTGTTTACCCATCTGACGATAATAGGTTAAGCTTTTGCCGAAGCCAACATTTCCCCTATATTCTACCCAAAATTAAGTTTAATTCACGTAAATTTGAGAATATGCAATTTACTCAAAAGAAACTGGTTGGGTCCAATCTCTCGTTCCTTTTTTGAAAACAATAAAGAGTGCAAGTGAGAGGCTGAACTCAATATTAAGTAAAAAGCACTCAAATTTTAGGTAGCATTTTTTCTTCGTGTACGTTTTTACGAGTTTGACTGAACGTATTCAAATATGAGTCAGTCTCATTTGCTGTCATGTTTGAATTAACGGTAATAGAATTGACTGCACGCTATTTATAAACAACCCAAATTGGAGTAGGATCTACGCCCCGTAAAAAAATCCAATAAAAATACAATGATTTTCATTGTCATTGTAACCATGACATTTACTGTCAAAGCATTGGAAATTTTTGTCCATTACCATAAAATCACAACGAAATTCACGGTTCACAACAATCAAAATCATGGTCTTTGAGAAATTTACAGTAAAAAAGGGGAGTGGTTAAGCATCTTAACAATATAAAAAAGTGATTTTTCTCGAACAAATTTGATCTCATCATACTAATTTTCGTTATTAGAGCATTGTATCGTTAAAAATCGAAATCTATTTTTTCTCCCGTACAATAATTTAACAATAAATTTTAATGTACTCAAAATTCAACAGTAAATATCATTGTAATTTCGTTGTTTAATTATAATTATTTTTTTCGGGTCATATCCGTAAAAAAGGCTACCCTAAATTCAACCAGCAATGTTGTAACTGACAAGATGACTAATGAACAACATCGTCCGGATTCAGGTCGATGTTTTTCATTCGTCATCTTGTAAGTCTAAACTTTGTTTACTTAATTTGGGGTACCCTACTTTTGACGAATATGAGTAGCTCCTTCTCAAATTTGGGTTGTTTAGAAATAGCGTGTATACCGTGTCGACCCGTCCTTTCACGAATAGATTAACATTTTGCCTTCGGGATTTTCAGTGGAGTGCTTCTTCTTTCCTTTATTTAACGTCGGTCTCTGTTCCGCAATCTAGTGCCAATCACCGACGGACATCGATTGCCATCCATTGACGGCAATCGAATGTGCAGGAAAGGAAGGCAGCTTCCACACCTGCGTAGGGTATCGCACCCATTCAACACACATGGGCCGGGACCAACGGCTGTACTTCCCTTCCGAAGGGAAGAGACCAGAGATTTTTATGCCTCAGAAAAATCCAAACGACCTCGGCTGGGATTGAACCCAGACCCATCGGGGTGTTAGAAAGCAGTCACGCTTACCACTACACCACCGGCGCCGGCTTTTCAGTGGAGTGAAAGGATTAGAAACCATACGCAACGTTTCACGAAATTCGACATTTACTTATGGGGTTTTCCTATAGTAGTGAACAGTCGTCGTCAACTGTCGAATGGTTTCACCAATACCAAAACAAAGTTATCAAATCAAGTTCGAAGGCCATAATTAGGAACACGTCTCAAAATTACGTCCATTATGTTCGGTCCATAGTTTTAAAGTGCAACAAGCGTTAAACATTCTAAATTCTCAATAAGAGTGAAAAGTGTGATATTAATTTATTAGGTTAGTTACAAAAAGGTAAGTCCTTTCAATTCATGAAATTATCAGGTTTTTTGATGATCACCGCAGTGTATATACATAAATTCAGCAATCGACTAAATTTTCAATAGCGACCAACATATCCATTAGTAACGTCCCAATAACGCGTTCTTCTAGATAAAATTGATAAATAGCAGATTTTTAGCGATGGGCCCAATCTTAGGTCCATCCTTTTCCGTCGTCCAGGTTTTAGTTCTAGTCTAGTCTAGTCTACACATACACAGCCAGTACTTGAAAGAATCCTGGAAAATGATACATCTATCATTTTTCTTGTCATTATTAATGCCTGCTGCACATCAAGGATGTGAAACCAACAATAAAGCGGCCAGGCCTACTGTGTAGCGTTTAGTTAATTTTTGTGGAAGTGAATGTTTACCATGTCTACTTAATAAGTATAGACAGTGGTTAACATTCAATCCACAGGTAATCAAAGAGCGGGGACATACCGTACCAACCGCTCCGTATGCAGGATTTGAAAATAGGCTATATAAATCGTTGGGAGTGACAGAGCTAAGAAAGTTAATGTACACTCCTTGGTTGTCCGATCTCCTGGGATGGAACACAGGTATTTACCCCTTGTGTTCGAGCGTACAGTCCTCCCTCCGTACAAGCGTGGACGGCACCGCCCACCCACTGCCATCCCTCAATCGATCCAGCCGACCTCAGTCGAAGGACAACAGAGAGCGGTGTGCGGACGTAACCTATACGGAGGGAATGCTGTATTCGCCTAGGTTATAGCGCCCTTGCTCGCTATTCGTTATTCTCCGTCGTCCAGGTTTTAGTTCGTACTAAAACCTGGACGACGGAAAAGGATGGACCTAAGATTGGGCCCATCGCTAAAAATCTGCTATTTATCAATTTTATCTAGAAGAACGCGTTATTGGGACGTTACTAATGGATATGTTGGTCGCTATTGAAAATTTAGTCGATTGCTGAATTTATGTATGGGCCCAAATCAGGGGCATTTAGGCCGGCATTACATCCATTTCCCTGCCTACGTAGTTTCAAAGAAGCGAATGCATATAAGTACAAATTTTTCAACAATGGTGACATAATGAACGCATTTAAAAGACGAATTGATGTGTATATATGAGTCAGCTTATTTTAAAAATATGTTCAAATTCTGAGATTGTACTGGAACTGTTTCGATAGATGTTTATTTCATAGGGATGTGCAGGTGGTTCAATCGGTGCTTAATTATCCAACCCAAATCGATCTGTGTGTAAAAATCTACACAACACGTTCTATCTAATTAATCATTGTGCATTTGATCCTCAAAATCATCCCTTCCAATATGAAGACGAATATTAATATTGACAACGACACAAGCAATAATGAACATCTAGCCACAAATGAACAAAAACGTTGACTTCGATACTCAGAGGTTGCTTTGATCAAGAGAATGCTTTTATGTCAAAATTCCAAGAAAATTCAAATTCATGCAGGTATTTGGTCTATATATTAATGTTGTCTTCATTTTCAGCTAAGTTGAGTTTAGAAGGAATGATTTTTATCAGCGCTGATCAGGGTACAACTTAACGACGGTATCAATTATAACACTATCCTTCTCGTTACTACCGAAAAGGATGTCGAACTATACAATAATTCCTTTAAATCCATATTAGTTGTTAATGTTCGTTTGATATATGTGAGAACATAGACAAACGTTTTCAGCTTGCATTTGCATCAAGGGGTGGACACTCTACACACTTGTTTTGTACCACTATTTTTCTCAGTGTGCCGCAGATGTACCGGCTGTACCAACAGTGCCTGTCATCAAGCAGGCTGCGTTTTAGTGTGAATATTATGGCATGTTTGGAAACCCGGTATTTTTGACAAATTGAATGTTTTGGTTTGATCGAGCCACTCAAAGACAATAGTTATTCTAAAATAGAATCAATATAGGGGAATTTACGTATTCTCGGCAACCTAAGCAACGACCTTCTTTCTATAGCCTTTTTCTCTAAGGAACG